CTGTCGCTGAGTGTGGTTCGGTGGCAAGCACAAGAAATGGTTGAGACAAAGAAGTTAGTTACGTTTAGAACTTGTCTGCCGCCGAAACTCGCTGCACAATGGAGATTAATCAAGAGAATACTAGTGCTTCAACAAGAATACTAGTGCTTCGACATATACTATAGTCTGAAAAACAGTTTTTTAACCATACAATATTCCCGATGCTATTTTAAATGTTTTTAAATTTGTTGTAGTATATATTTCTATTTTTATTTTATTATACATATATAATATTAATATTGATGTAGAAATATTTAATTATATATTATATACCTTTTTTATAAAAAAAAAAAAAAATATATTTACGCACGTATTATTTATTGATTCATTCATTCAATGTGTTATATTGAGCCATCCTTTGATATCAATTCCCATATTTTAAACGATTTACATCTTGATTGAGCAGGAAATGATTTGTAAAGTTTTGTAATTGATTTATGTATGGGATCAATTGTGCACTTGATTTTACTTAACAGTCCTATAAAGGATACATATTCATATAGGCTAGCCAAAGAGCTGTAACCCAATTAAGGTCAGAGTGTGCACGATGCAGAGGATCGTTGGCGTCTTAACGCAGCTGTGACAGAAATCTGAACTGAATGCATTTGCGTAGACTACAGAATGCACTTCTCCATTGTTGTTGTTGTTGCTGGCGATACGAAAGCTGAAGGCAGTCTGAAGTAGAATAAAAGCAAGAAGGAAACAACGCACTCAATTTCCAGTTTTTGTTGCTGCTGCAAGTCAACAGCCTCAGACTCGAAGCGTCGAGACGATGGCCACCCCGTGGCGGACTGGGAGAGCATCGAGAGCACACAAGAGAGACAGTCGAAGACTGAGAGTGCTCGAGAGTAAGAGAGGAAAAGAGAGAGATATTCCACATCCAGTACAGAGCCCGGCGTGGCTGGTTTTATTTTATATTTTGGCGCGTCACTTGCGCTCAAACAGTCGCTGCGTGCAGTTAACAGATACAGATACAATTACGCTCCAGAGACAAGCGGCCTAACGAACTGTCTGTTCACATTTAAAAGACGCGGCTCAGCTGAAGCTGATTGTTTATCTTGGCTCGCCTGAAGTGCAGTCCGTGAACAGCAACACGTTTGCTATGCATTGCGCATGCGCTTAAAAGTATTCTTTGTGGCTGGCTACGTGGGTGGGCCAGTTGTGTAAAAGGACAAACTGCCAAAGGACATTGAAACGCGCACGTATTATTCAACAGTCGAGCAGTGAAAAATGCACAGCTAAGCGCGAAAAACACACAAGAAATAAAAATAAATACAAAATTATATATAAAATGAACTTCACAAGCTAAGCAATTGAAAACAGCGCGTTGAATACTAAACATATCCACGAGTGACACAATACACATCAAACGAAAACGAGCTTTGCATTTGTTTAAACAATTAGTGGCAATATACACGAAAAATATTAATTATACAAGACCTAACGAATTAGAGCAACATGTCAACCGTTTCCTCCAGTAACTCAAGCGGCGATGAGCCCAACAAAAGGCCCGGTGTCAACAGCGAGGAGAGCTCCCACCTGCTGGAGGCCACTGAGAACGGTGCCAAATATGGTTCCCGGCAAGCGGTAAAAATCATCAAGACCCCAGTCAATGACAGTGCCAATGCCAATGACAGACCTCAAGTAGGCCCAATTCAAATTTTATTCAAACTTTTCTAACTGGTGCTGGTACTAAAAACCCCAATAATTTAAGTAACTCTAGGCTGTGTATCTTCTACGTATGACCTTGACAGAGGTACGGAAAAAAAATTAAAGTACCATGGCGCGCCCTATTAGCGGTGTGTAAAGCGACTTTCGGTTTAGTTGTTTGGCAAGAGCAAACAATCTTTAATGTCTGTTTAGTACAACGTATCTGAAAATGAAATAACTTGAACGGATCCCAGACAAAATTTAGAGCATTTTCTTAGTCATCAGGCCCAAAATGAGATATGATAAGGAGACAAAACATTAGTCTCTTATCTACGAAAGTAGTTCAACAAATTAAAGTTGTTTTTAAGAATAGTACGCTTCTTTTTTCTGGATATATCAGAATTTAATATATGTACAATATATATGACTTTCAACATTTCAGAACCAGAATTAAAAATTGTTATGCTTTAATTCCCTGAAATCGTAAACCGGCTTACGATTTGTGACCGTGAAATTTGTGAATTCATTCAAAGCATTCTCTGGAACGGGTCTGAAATTAAATATCAATTTGAGTTTTTTTATGTTTTCAATACATGTTTTTCGTTATTGTACATCATGTTTATTATTACTATAAATAACGCATTATATTATTCAGATTGGTTTTGATTTGTACGCCCCACAAAAACACAGAAATCTCTTATCATGTTTGTTTTTCTTTTTCCTTTTTTTTTTTTGGCAACATTGGTTAACCGAAAAGTGATTTCGTTGTTAATGAGTTGCTTTGTTTGTTTTCATTCGACGACCTTGGGCAGTTTATAAAAATGGAAAGTTATGAAATATTTATTAACCTATTATCCAATTAACTGATAAGCCTAAAAGGGCACGACATAAAAAATGACAACAAACGCAACCAAATAGCAAAAATATTTGATTATTGAAATATCAATAATTATTATATACATATGTATGTAGCTTATTCAATGTGATTGACCTGTAAAGACAGTTTCCTTATGTTGTCAAAAAAAAAGAAAGACAAATTTCTCCCTATATAAAATATAGTATTTCATAGTATTTCATTCTCGAGCGTTTAAAAATATTTCGAAAATAAGGAAGGAATTTCTTTTATACATTAAATATATATAAACTTAATATGCACAAAGTCTTGGCATATAAAAATTAATCTTTATTATCGGGTTTATTCGCATACCTGCACATCAGAAGCTGCGGGAATTTATCTGAATATTTTTATAAATTTTAAATGGTTGAGGAAACCAGTTTATGGCTTTGACAGTCGGACTGGAAGTATGTTAATGGATATTCTGGGCTTTAAAATGCAATTTCAGTTATTTCTTACTGAATGTGGCTCACACAAATGCGTATTGTCTGACATTGAAATGAACTTGGCCAGGCCAACGATGACAATGACATTTGGCGTTCGCCTAGCCATTATCCTGACCAGCTTAAAGCGTCAAGCGAGCGTCGTTAATGCGTGGGCGCCCAACAAGTTATTGGCTCGGTTGACTGCCAACGTAAATCTATATATAGTTGCGCATATTGGCATTGGCAGCAGCAGCAGCAGCACCACCACCACCACCACCTCCAGTCACAGTGACCACATAAACAACGCCAACGGCGTCGCAAATATCGATTTCAATGCAGACTTACTGCCCAGCTGGTGTGTCCCAGCCACAAGCAGGAGGTGGCGTGGGCGCGCCTCTTCTCGGTTACCGGTTGGGTAACGCTACTCTCGGCCAGCATTCACCATGTGCGGAAGTGCATTTGTAGGCATAAAGCTGCACCAATGTGGGCTTTGATTGGATATATAAGCGCATATATGTATGTGTGTGTGAGCAGCAGTGATTGCCGCACATTTTGCGAGTGGGCGGTAAAATGAGATAAAGTAAATGGCAAAAAGAAAAGCCAGCAGGGGAAAGGAATTTAAACAGCACTCAGCTATATAAACGCATTTAATATCTGAACAAAATCCGTAAAGAGTGCGTAAATAGAAAAGCTTTTACGATATACATTTTGCTGATACTCTTTAGATAATCCATTAGTTTGAATACTTAAATATTCTGTTATAAACTTAAACTAGACCTTAATTTAAATAGTCAATTATACAACATATCTTTACTAAACATTTTTTTATTATTATTATAAACTAATATCAGCCTAAAATGAAACAAAAAGACAGTAAACAGATTTTCTTTTCAATATTAATAATTAATTATAAAATATATATTTTTTAAGTATGCGCAACTCTATTAAGATCTTGTTAAATGATTACACTTAGTATCTGATAAGCCTCTATCGACAATTTCATTAACTCGTAGCAATTTAATGAACAATAAATTTAGCAGAATTAACGATTATTAATTAGCAGAAATGTTATAGAATTCCTCACATATGTTATTGGTACATATTTACGTGTGGTACCTAGGTACTAGCAGTACTAGCCATATGGAATCGGCACGCGATACCATTAACTACTTTCATATGTAGGCATATGTATCTATCGGAGAATATGGTTTATGGCCGCGGAGCGGGCCATGGCCAAGGCAACAAACGTATAATTGGCGCCGCTTCACTAAGCTGCAGACAATGCCAAATGCACCTGTGCCATAAATTTTTGATATTTTAAGTTAATTATTAATAATTAAATTGAAAATGATTTACTTTATGCAATCCATTACAAGTTGCAAATTATTTCAATTTCAATTCATTTTAAAGTTGTGTTTGACAGCATAAAGTGTTAATTTTGATGTGAGCTAACAAAATATAATATAAGAATAATAATAACAACAGCATCACGTTTTCTATATTATCATATCCGTTCCAATTGAGAAAAGTTGTTTATCTGCTCTTATCGTAATCTACTTAAATCTTATCACATATTCATATGCGCTTGCACTTTCGATTGATATCGTTGATTTGGACGAATGAAATGGCTCTAATTAAGTGGCTTGACGTATATCTAATCTTCAGCATTCCATTCCACTTTCTTGACTCTCAAATGTCTATAAAACGTATCGCCAAACATGAATAAATAAATATTATTGTTTGCAATCATTGCTGTATAGTTTTATTATAATGCAGGAAGTCAACACTTGGGCACAGTGCAAGGGTAAATAAGCCTATCAAGAGCTGTGAATGCTTAGTGGGAACATTTTCCAAACAACTAAAACTTGGGACTTTGGGGCATTCCTCTTTGGCACACGCCGCAATAAAGTCCGTAATCGCATAGGTGGGCATTACTGTGGCTTACTTGTTGTCGGTGCGATTAGACTTATGTCATAATGGGCTTCGATTGTAGCTCTGCTTAGTTGGCCGAACCGTCAAGTGCCCGAATACTAAACACGCTTTACTTGTTTTCTACTCATTTGCAGGATCAGGAAAATCTACTTGGCAAAATGGTGCACACGTCCACCGAGAATCGGGCGAATACCTTTCCGCAATATGTTGCTGCTCTGGCCGCAGCTGGCGGTGCTTTTGCAGCCGGTACCCTGCTCGGCTGGACTTCACCGGCGGAGACGGAAATCGTTAAGGATGGCACTGCGTATGACTTTGATGTGAGCAGCGAGCAGTACTCGTGGGTCAGTTCGTTTATGACCCTTGGTGCTGCCTGCGTGTGCATTCCGATTGGCTTTCTCATCAATTTCATTGGACGCAAATGGACCATGCTGCTACTGGTCATACCCTTCGTATTGGGCTGGGCCCTGCTGATCTGGGCACAGAGCGTGATCATGATGTACATTGCACGCTTCATTCTGGGTATCGCTGGCGGTGCCTTCTGCGTAACTGCGCCCATGTACACTGGTGAAATTGCCCAAAAGGATATTCGCGGCACACTTGGCAGCTTCTTTCAACTGATGATCACCATCGGTATACTGTTCGTGTACGGAATCGGTGCGGGTCTCGACGTCAATAAGATGAGCATCGTGTGCGGCATTATACCCATTATCTTTGGCGTTATATTCTTCTTCATGCCCGAATCTCCCACATATTTGGTAAGTTTGAGACGTACACATACATATTTCCCCAGGGTACTTATTGATGTTTTATGTTCAATATCCTTCAGGTTTCAAAGAATCGCTCAGAGTCCGCCGTGAAATCTATTCAATGGCTGCGAGGCACGGAATACGATTATAGAGCAGAATTGGAGGAACTGCATCAAACCGATCGTGAAATCCGCCAAAACAAAGTGAACATCTTGGCAGCCTTGGCCCGTCCCGTTACCATCAAGGCATTGTGCATTAGCTTGGGCCTGATGTTCTTCCAGCAGCTGAGCGGTATTAACGCTGTCATTTTCTACTCGGAAGCTATCTTTGAGGTAAGTGCTCAGGCTGTCCAGATCTAATATATGCTAGATATCTAATATTGACTTTTTTCAAACAGGATGCCAACACTGGAATAAGCTCCAGCATGTCTACGATTCTGATTGGTGTGATGCAGGTCGTCGCCACCTTTGTATCCACAATGGTGGTGGATAAGTTGGGACGTCGCATTCTGTTGCTCGCCTCGGGAGCAGTCATGGCGCTGTCAACCACCGCAATTGGCGTGTACTTTTATATGAAAGATAAGAATGCGGGCAGTGTTGAAAATTTGGGCTGGCTGCCTGTGGCAAGTTTGTGCATTTTCATGATCATGTTCTCGATTGGCTACGGCCCGGTGCCATGGCTGATGATGGGCGAGCTTTTTGCCACCGACATCAAGGGCTTTGCCGGCTCTATTGCGGGCACCACCAACTGGGTGCTCGCCTTCATAGTGACAAAGACGTTTAAGAATCTTAATGACGCGCTGGGCAGTGGCGGCACCTTCTGGTTATTCGCTGGCGTTACTGTTGTTGGCGTAATCTTCGTCGCCTTGGCTGTGCCCGAGACGAAGGGCAAGAGTCTGAACGAGATTCAAATGGAATTGGGTGGCAATCGGCAGCCATCCACAATGCAGCCAGCGAATAGTGAACCCAAGTAAATCATCTTCAGCTCTGTTAAATTTTACGATTTTTTTATTATATTTAAATGTAACTTTATGTTAAGTGAAGAGTCAAGTTCCGTATTGCAATTGATGAATTTGTTAAAAATTTAATGTGTAAAATCAGTTACATTGGCACCGCTAAAAGATGTGAAGACAGAAAGACAGTAACGAAGAAAGAGTACTAAGAATGAAGACTGAAGGTCAAGTGCATAATAAGCAGCTATATTAGGGCTCTCTTGAATTCAACCACTCCAGGCTCAGCCTCAGGCCATACTATCGCAACTATCGCAAGTTATGTTAACTGCTACCTTCGAGTGGTCCATAGAAAAGACAATAGATATCAACAGTAATCATATAATTCATAGGCAAAAGCACCAGGTATTACACAATAAAGATAACTCATAAAATGATTGTGTAGCCTGGCTTGGTATATGTTTATTTAGATATATCGAAACTGGTTCCGTGTGTTATTCGAAACATTCAGTTTTTTTTGTTTTACATAAGCATTTTTAGCCTGTTTAGTTTTAAGCCAACATATTTATTTACTAAACGGTTTTATAACATTTTATACATATATTATTATTTGATATCAGACATTTGAATCGCAAGCATTACAAAATAAAATTATTCACTCGCGATCGCTACTTATCAAAAAGCTCAACAGTAAAAGCGTTATATCATTGTTAATGCATCCGCATTCATTTTGCAAAATATTGATGTAAAATTACTATATAAATATATATATTAACACCGAGTACCATATACATATAATGGCGATCAAATGTAGAGAAATATATGAAATATATATATATGTATGTTGTAAATAAAATTTTGTCGTTTTTAATACCATATATCAGATATCCCATGCAGATAAGAATTAATTCTTCATAGAATTCTCTGTTTCCTGGCATTTGTTCTCTTGTTCTTTCTCGATGATTTCGTTTATATCAGTCTCAACATCCTTGTCTTCTTTCGACAGCTGCTCATCGTGGGTATTCTCCTCCTCCTTCTCCTCGAGCATATCCTCCTCTTCAGTATACAGGTTATTTGCCCGATTGAGCAAAGGAATTGATTCCAATGATGCTTCCAATCGCTCCATACGCTCCAGTAAATGTGTTAATCGTCGATGATAGTCATCCAACGTGCGTTGATCAGCATAATTGTTTTGTTCACTATCCATGTCAAAAGCCCTATTGACGTCTTCTTTTCAGGATTAAAATACAGAATTTATTTATTTATCGAATTTTGAAATATTATTATAACAAATTTATATTTTTCAATGATTTACTGATTTGTTATTTAAAAATGTTTGATTTATCAAAGCTATACTATATTGACTGAGTTTTCCTTTTATTGTATTAGCTAGTACAAAAGTTCCTGTAGGACCACTTAAAAGTAAAAAGCGGACACTCCAAATTCATATAAACACGTCTGAATGAATTTCAACATTTATATTTTATATTTGAATGCGTTTTTATAAATGTAATAAATATATTTCATTAGATTAATATATTACATACTTTTAGTAATGCAATTACAGGATACCAAATACATATATATTTATATACAATTCATTGCCTATTGTTTTAACAGCTACCAATAAATTATTACAAGTTAATCCAAAAATATTTTTAAAGCGTCAAAACTTCATAAACCGTTACTCTTATAATATCAACAAAATTACCTGTTACAACTAAAATCTCAATAGTGGGCATATCAAAAATATTTATATTTTTTATCCGCATCATAATTGATTATACGAAGTAAGCCATGCTCAGCACCAACGGCCACCCAGTTACGTGCTTCAGCATTCCAGTTCCATCGTACAGAATTGAGGCGCATAAGGTTTAACAGATCAAAATTTGGTAGTCTCTTTATGTTTAAATAAGTTGACTTCTTCTGCTTCTGAGCAACCCTTCTAAGGGGCTTGAGGATCAAACCGTAGTCTTGCTTAAATTCTTCTGGGGTAACCGAATTCAATTCTGCACTGTCGTTCAAGCGACGCACATCCATTGTCGATACGACGCGACAGTCCCTCGATCGTCTTTGTGGCAAATTTAAGTGATCGCAAAACAAGATGTCCACATCTCCGTTATCCGTCCCAACAACTAATGTCAAGTGCTCCCAATTGAAATGCACTGAACGGGCACTACTCAACGTTATATCAAACGTCGCGTGACTAAAATGCATTCCCGATGGATTTAGCGTTAGCAAGCGTGGAAACTCTAAAAATCAAATAGAAAATTTGTATTTCTGAATATGTAAATTATGATTTTGAGATAAGCTTACGAGCTTTATAAACTTCGCTGCATCCAACGACCAGAGTCTCCCACAAAGGAGACCAGGCAAGGCCGCCCAAATACATATTGCACACAGTGTCACCAGTAATTGGCAACGGCTGCGACAAGTTTGCTATGTCATAGACCCATAGCTTACGCACCGTGGTACCAACAACCAACCAACGCACTCCATTCGAGTCATAGTGCAGTTCGAGAACTTGAAAAAAATATTATAGATTAGATAAAAATATAATATAATAGAATTATGTTAATTACGAAATATATTTTTTTCGCCAAAATAAAAGAAATGAGCAGGTACACAGTAACGTTGATCATTACGCTCCATGTAATTCAGTCCTTGGTCGTCCGAAATGTCATAAAATGCCACGTTTCCACTGACGTATCCACTCACTATCAAACCGTGACCAGAACTCTTAAATAAGAGTAAAATAATAAGATTATAGAATCGTAATTATCTTAAAACTGAGTAATAATTCTCTTACTTCAGACCAACATATTTTAGTGCACGCATCCTGTACGGGATTATCTATATCCAAACTAAGTGTAAGTACCGGTTGCAAAACAATAACATCAGTTTGTTTATTCGTATGGCCCCTCTCGTGCTTAAGGCATAATGGCAGCGCGTAAATAATTGTACCCAATGCACTGCCCACGGCAAGTAAACCCAATCGGTTTATAGATTCATCGTAGCCGCCGCTAGGCATAAATGCTATGCTATGCACCGGTCCTTCTGGCACACATATACCATAATGCACTCGAATCTGCAGTGGAAAGACGTTGTCGTCACAACCTGGCGACATTTTGCATTCGAGCAGGAACAGTAATGCTTTCTCCGGTTTGTCCCTATGTTGGCGGGAATAACCGAGCACCTTATTGCGTTGGGAGCATAACAAATATTGTGTCTTTACGTGCGATGGTAAAGGCACCCATGCAAGCTCTTTTATAGGGGTGCCAAGATAGCAGACTGACTCATCTGGAAGAAAAATTAAAGTTAGTCAATAATTAAATTGTAAGAATATCGCGATCGAAATTACCCTCTCTTTGAAAGCCCTCCTGTGGCCTCAAATGCATCCAGTCGTTCTCATGCTCTCCGCCATAGGCGTAACGCATGGAAGTGGACTCCATAGATGGCAACAGTTCTTCGGCATCGGCAGGCGAAAGCTTTTCATATCGGGGCAGTAAATGCGGGTACAAAGTGTCTTTGGCATAATTGTTTTGGATACTAATGGAATAGACATATTTTATTATTAAACTAATGGATATACTCTATAATACTTACAAATAATTGCTGCGCTCCTTCATCTCTTTTTTAACATTAATGCGACCACGCACTATAATTTAAAATTTGTAATGAATATAAAATAGGAAAAACTGAAAAGAATAATTGAATAATACAACTTACAAGCATTTTCTCTTTTGGGCAATATTTTAGCAGGTTCATCACTTATACTCGAGACTTCGGACTCGTCGTCTTCATCATCAGATGATTCTTTATCCGCGGTAATTTCATAGTCGGATGCGTCACCATCGGTCTCCTTGATATTTTCTGTTTGACTTGCAATCTTCTCCAACTTGGTTTCAGCCCTAAATTTAAAAATGAATCATTTTAATATATCTTGTAAACATTTTTAATCGGGTATTCAACATACTTCAAGGTGGACTTGCGCTTGGCGCGACCTGTATTGCTGTACACTGGCAAATTGTCTTCTTCTGGTGCTGCCTCAGCTGCCGGCTCCTCTTCACTTTGCACTGCCACACGTTTACTGCAGGTGCGACTGTGCGTCGCAAAGGATAGCTTGGTATAACTACCGTTGCAGTGCTCACACACTATGCGCTGCTTGGTACCACAACCTTCCAAGTGGATTAACAGACCCATGGCGGAATACAGTTGAACTTTACATAGACGACAACTCAGTCCCTTCTTGCCCCCATCCATATAAGTTTTAATCATTTTCGCCACGTTGTTGCGAGTGAGCAGCTGTAATAGATGTATTATAGTAATAAATCTACACAGTCTTAAAGGTGCATAGGTTCATACCGGAGGAGGTTCCTCGATAGACCAGCCAACGCCGTAGTGCTCTGCGATATGCGACTGCCAGGTTGCACTGTTACAGCGCACGAGACACAAGCCACACTGCTTATCGCCCTCACCTCGGCCATCCTCTCGCAACTCTTCGTCGCTCTCCAATTGCGATCGATTGCGTATGAGTAGAAGTCGCATGTAGTAGTCGTTGACTTTCTTGCAGGACTCAGGACTATCATTGACTTCCATTTCTTTGGGTTTGCGACCACGGCGCTTTGGCGTCGGTGTGCTGTTAATATCTTCCGATTGTATTTTGGCTTTTGGTGTACTTAGCGAGCAGGATTTCGGCGGCCGACCTCGTCTTCTCGTAACTGGAGCTGGTTCATTCGTTACAGCTTCATCCGGCGCATTTATTTCCATGATATTTTCAATTTCCATGGCTTCTGTAGAGGGATTCACATCCTTTGATTTGGGACTTTTGACGTTTACGGTCGACCCCGAGCTGCTTTTCGCGTCTTTTCCTTTCACACTCCTACGGGCACGTTTCGGCTCAGTTTCTAATCCAGCGTCCTGCGCCCTAGAGTTCCGCTTAGATGCTTTTCGCTTCAATGACTCCTTCATGACTGGCTCAGTTGGAACGACGTCTTGTTGACAATTGGTTTCTGCGTCCGCTTCCTGGTCAATCGATTCATTAGTCACACTATTATTAATAACAGATTCAGTCTTTGGTTTATTGGTCAGCAATTCTTCTTCGGTCTCATCATAGTCCGGCGAGGCATCATCACTTATGTCCGTTTCTCTAGCCTTGGAATGCTTGACACGTTTACTGCTCGATTTCTCTTCGAATCCATGAAAAAAGTCACCATCGTCGTCACTGGTGCTGGAAGTTTTTGTTCGATTGGCCCCATTTGAGTTGCTCTCCACATGAAGTGGTCTCTTCATTGCATTTAGGGATTCCGCTTTCTCGGATGCGGCTGCCTTTGCTTGGGCAGCTTTTGCAGGTCTCTTGACGGTCAGCACCGGTCGTGTTTTCAGTAGCTTCTTTCTAGGCAGTTTAGCTGTCGACTCCGGCTTGACCTCATTGCTGCACGTCACCACTTTCTCTGCCGCCAAGTGAGTTACAAGATTTTGGATTCCCAATGCTTCTGCACACGTATTATCCGTGGATATTAATTTTTTATTATTATGTGTGGGTTTTTTAAAAGGTATTTGAGGCTCACCACCTTGTGGCGGAGGTTGCTTTTGCTTCACAGCATCGAAAAGTGATACAGCTGATGGTTGTGTGGAGGCCGAATTAGCTGCCTCATGAACTGTCCCATTATGGTTATCCTTTTTGTTTGATTTGACAGACTTAAGCTTTGACATCTTAGGTGGATGATATAGCTGCGATAGGTCTTTTTCTTGAATCGGTTCAGTATCAACCTTATTTACGTCCTCACCATCTTCAGCTATCACACGTTCTGTTTTATTTGAGATCTCAGTTTTATCACCTGATGTGCTGGTCAAATTTTCTATGCTGTTCTTGACTCCATTATCTGTTGCTATTTCTTTTTCAGCTATAGTTATTTTTGGTTGTTCACTTTTATTTTCCACTTCAGCGGGATTTATATTGGATACGTTTTGATTTAAATCATTCTTTGATTGTAGTTTACTGTCAGTCACATCTTCAAGGGATTCGCTCATTAAATTCTGAGCAGACTGTGCATCCTTCAGCTCTGTACTATCGGATGAAATAACCATATTAGATGTACCTAATTGCTCATCAGCTAAATTCTTTCCTATACTCTCATTCGGCTTAGAAACAGTTGGTTTTTTATTACGTTGTACCAAATTGATTTTGCCCTTTTTGGGTTTGTAAGGTATCGGCTTAGCAATCTGTTTTTTTTCTTCCACTCCATGTAATTCAACCTTAGTCTCAGACACTGAAATCATTTTCGATTTGGGCGTCTCATCCACAGAAGACTCTGGTTCTACTACAGCTGGGGGTTTCGATAAAGCATAATTCTTTTTTGGATTGGTATACACAGGTTCCTGCGATGGTACTTTCATAGGTTTAAGCTTGACAATGTCTGACTGTTCTTCGTTATTGCTATCATTGGCGGGAGTTTCAGTATCTGTTGTACTCGCGCTGCTCTCCACTATCGTTGCATTTGGACTTATAGATAAGACATTCGGTTCTTTGCCATTCACATTTAATGTGGCATGCAAAATATCCATATCCTGCAGTTGTAATATCTTGCCTATGGCCAAATCATCCTCCGGTTTTGTATTTTGGGCAGGTGGAGGTGGAATTGAAGATTGACAATTGCCAAATTTGGCATTCAAACTCATCTCCTCTGGAGACAGCTCAAAATAGTTATTTGAATCGCCATCGTCAGTTGCAGTCAGTTGTGCTATGAAATCCACGGCAGACAGTTCATGGCTTGGTGACTCGTTAACCTCTGGTGACGTCGATAATGAAGATGGTGGGGCTGATGATGGTAGCGGTGATGACAAACGCTCTGAAGTCGATGATGGCGAGCTAATCTCGATAATTGTCTTATTTGTTGCTCCTTTGGTGGCCTTGTCTGGTGAGGAAAGTGTTATTGGACTCGTTGAAGTGTCAATGCTTGGAGTTATTAGAGATGCGGATTCTATATTTGTAGAAGCCGGAATTTTGGAAGAGGCGGCGACTTCTGATGATAAATCAAGTTTAATGCACTTAGGAGTTATTACCGAGGAAGCTATTATAAGTGACGAGGAAGGTTTTTTACTTGTGACTGAAGTTATCAACGGAGCTGATGATGATAAAGAAATCATCGGAGTAGGTATCGTTTTAATAACTGGATCTATCAGCGATGAAGGCATTGCAGATGAGGAAGGTTTAGTACTTGTGGAAGTTGTAGTGACTGGAGCATTGGAAGATGCACAAGTCTCTTTCGTAGGCGGTACAGTTTCGATATTGCTGGCAACTGAACCTTGCACTGGTTTTACAGCTTGATTGTCTATGCTGGGCAGCTTTTGCTGCTGTACATGCTGCATTGCTTGCTTGTGCACTTCTTTGGCCAGTTGAGAAATTCGCTCACGTGGCAATTTTAGTTTATTCACATTCAGTATGATCTTCTTGATCGGAGCACTGGGCTTCTTGACTGCTGTTTTTTCCTTATCTGCATGTTCAGAGTCCGCTACAGTAGATGCTGAAGTCGTCGGAACTGCCGTTGATTTGCCATTTGGCAACCGCAAAGCCCTCAAATCAATTTTCTCTTCAGGGGTCAACACCTTGTTCTCCAGTACAATCAGCGGCGGCGGAGATTTTGATGTTGTTGAGGTTGATACTGTTCGAACTTCTGATATTGCTGGTGAAGATACTCGATTTATTGAAGTATCTATTTCTGGCGCTCGTGCTGGCGATGATTGCCTGTTTTGCGATATACCTCCACACATTGCACGATGTCTGGGCAATTGATTCACCAGATTGAGCAACAACGGCGGATGGGAACGCACCGTTAAGTCGGCTTTGGCTATGGGCACTGAGAAGCCGCTTGACTGGCCAGAACGGCTTATAGTTCCCGAGCTTGTCGGTGCTGTCCTTGGCGTAGCGGCTGGCGGCTGGCATTGCTCCCGTTTCTGCTGCTGTTGTGGTTCCGATTTTGCGGATTTGTTCAGAATTTTATTTTTTATTAGTCTTTTAATATGTGACGATTGTTCAATTCTAGATATCAGTTTATTATTCGCGATATGGCTTGCAGCTGGAAAATAATGTAAAAATGTTAAATGTTAACAGAATCAAACTTACTTCATAATTACTTTTAAACAAGACATTAATTTATATGTGCTGCTAAACTAATCAGAGTTTATTTATACATTTTATGCGAGTGTTTATTTAAATTTAAGTAATATAAAAAAAAAATCAATACAATTAATTTGCTAAATTGAAAAACTGGCACAGCCTCAGCCTGTCTGTGACGTGAATTGAACCTAGTCCACGTGTCTAACCCTAAAACACTCATACATCCTACCGTGTACATTATCATGCTACACCATCGAAAGCGTCCAAAATATGGGGTCGAATGTAATACTTCTATTAATCTAAAGATGTTCGGGCTCAAAAAAAAATTTATACCCTACATTTTATTATAGGATTAATCTTTAATAGTTCCATAGATCGCTATGAAGGTAATCTAATTTAAAATTCATTTTTTTAACATGTATTAATTACTACACGAATTTTACTATGTATTAATTAAAAAAAAAAAAAAAAAAAAAAAAAAAAAAAAAAAAAAAACTACCTTTTTTATTTATAAAAGTTACTTTCTTTAACATAAAAACTTTGTTCGGTCCTTGACACGAACCAGGTCCGAACGCTCGTTCGCATTATTAAAATACCCCAAGAACTTAAGCAGCAGCGCCACTGACGAATAAACGGCTAACACGGCTACATAATGACATATCTAATGAAATCATCTTAACGAAATAACCCACCACAATTTTTAAATATTCCGATTTTAATTATGAAAAAAGGAAATAATAAATGTTAAAATACGTTTAATACCATTCTGTTCCTCGTGGTGTTGCTTTTCTTGTATGCTTGTTTGTGTATGTGCTGCAGGCGTTGTCGCATTTGTCGGCGCAGCTGTGGGCAGAATTGCAGACTTTGATGGTGACACTTTTGTCGTTTCTGATGCAATACTTTTTGTTCCAAGCACATTTTGTTTGCTTAATGCCTCTGCCAGTTTTCTATGCAAGCCTGCATCTTTTAGTTTTTTAAAATCTAATGGTATTTGATTGATGATTCGTCTAGGCAATGATCCTCCTTTATCAAGTGACTGTGCAGACGACGGCGTAGACGACGGCATTGGAATTTTGTTGTTTTCGGCTTGGCCCTGCCCAGAAGTTGGCATTGTTGTTGGTGATTTTAAAAATTGCTTCTTCGCTTCATCCATATTTTATTTTATTTTATTTAAAACCGAGTCTGCAGTCAAATTACGCAGCGAATTGACGTAAATTACAAGATTTACATTCACAATTTATTTTCACAGCGCATATTTTCAGGCAAACAAGTTTTGAAGCAAACACGACTTACGTATTTTACATTTGTATAAAATGTGAACATTTATTATTCTAAAGTATTTTGTGCCAATAATTGGCCAATCTTTCAATATATTTGAACTTTTATATGCAAAAAATACGAACATGTGCAACGCTAAGCGCTGACCAGAGTGCCTGAATCTGGAAAATACAAAAATACGATGCTTTTTACAACTTTCTTAATGATCGATGTATCGATGTTCCGGACTTTTATTTATTTAATTTAATTTATTTAATAAACACCAATAACTACTGAATACTATAAAAAAAAGGTATACTTTCACAGTATATTAAAAAAAAAAAAAAAAAAAAAAAACAATAAATAGTTTCTTTAAATTGTCGATTGGTGATTGTCGTATTTCTTAATATCGATATATTATGAACAGCAATCGATATTATAATCAAATATATAACAAGCGAACAAGCTGAGAAAACAGCCTGACAACCCTACTGTCAAGTGGTAGAAATACAGCGTTTACTTTTTCTTGTAAAACGTTTTGTGAAGTTGAATTAAACCATGGATTTCCAAAATCGCGCCGGTGGTAAAACCGGTAGCGGTGGTGTCGCCTCCTGGTCGGAGACAAACCGCGAGCGAAAGGAACGTCTCCGTCAACTAGCGCTCGAGACCATCGATCTGAATAAGGATCCTTATTTTATGAAAAACCATCTCGGCTCATATGAGTGCAAATTATGCTTAACACTGCACAACAATGAGGGTAGCTACTTGGCTCACACCCAGGGCAAAAAGCATCAGGAGAATTTGGCCCGGCGTGCAGCCAAAGAAGCTAAAGATGCACCCTCTTCGCTTCTGGCGCCGGAGAAGCCCCGCGTTGAGCCCAAAAAGTTTGTGAAAATCGGCCGTCCCGGCTATCGTGTGACCAAGCAACGAGAGCCGACGAATGGTCAACAGTCGCTGCTCTTCCAGATTGACTATCCAGAGATAAGCGAAGGTATTGTGCCCCGTCATCGGTTTATGTCCGCCTATGAACAGAAGATTGAGCCGCCAGACCGCAAGTGGCAATATTTACTATTCGCTGCTGAGCCGTATGAAACAATCGGCTTTAAAGTGCCGTCGCGAGAGGTGGAGAAAACAGAGGGCAAGTTCTGGACGCACTGGAATCGAGATACCAAACAGTTCTTTTTGCAGTTCGCTTTCAAATTCGAGCCAAAGATATTGCCACCGCCGCCACCGAATTTGCATCGCACCTTGGGCCCACCAGCTGGTTTCCCCATTCCAGGTCCTCCGCGTCCGGCAATGCATCCCATGTTCAATGGCGTGCCGCCTCCACCACCCATGTAATCGCACCAACTCTATTAGTATAAAATAATAAAATACAATATGTTTGTAAGGTTGTTTGTGTTTCGCTTCAGTGGGATCTTCTAGGTTGGCCAGCTGATAGATCGGGAAATATCTTGTGGACCGAGATCAGTAATGTCGGTGTGCATGGTGGCAAAGATCTTCGACTATGTCAATCGCAATCGAAGTACTGAATACAGCATATAATCCATTCAGCATTGAGGTACGAGCCTAGTTGTATGGAATTGTTTCTCTTACTATGAAGTGGGTGCATAAATCAGTTGACGACGAAAATGGACCAACGTGTTTATTTAAATGATTTGGATATTTAAACAATCATACGAAAAAGAGAGTGGATTGGATTGACCAGGGCAGATCTCAATCTCATCGAAAATCTATGGCTGGATATAGATGAGGCAGTTGCCTTATTGCCACCAGTCAGCAAGAGGTCGCTTGGTCGTATTGTTGAGTGGTCCTAGAGCAAGATGACAAGACTTATTTGAATCGATTTCACGACGTTGAGTTGCCGTCATTGTCGCCTTGCTCGGTAATTAAATTCATTTAACTTAAAATCAAATGTTTTTTTATTTCATTTTAAGAACTTGAAAAAATATTACATACTTAATTTTTATTGGTGTTTAGTTGTTTTGTCTTGTGTGATTCCTTTTGCTTATGCATTTTTTGTAAAGTATATCTTACAAATTTTGTATGTGTTCGTTAAATTAATTATAACTAATGTACATAGTTATCTTAGGCAATATACAAACTTATCGTTATTTGTATTAACAACTAAAGGCGCAACATGTCGTTGTAATCTTCTCCAAACTGCTTTACACTTTTATATACGTAAATGTACTTAAAGTTTCTCGCGTTTCTTAAAATTGCGCTTCGATTGCAAGCGATTGATGATGTCCGAGACATGAGGTTGATGATCAAAGATCTTCATTAGCTGATTTTGCGCCTCATTGATGCCATCGGTTATGATCTTACTTCGCTGTATGTTGCCCTGTACATGATAATAATTAATTAGTTAAATAATAGATATATAATTAATTAATTTGAGCTTACCTTTAATAGCTCGCTGATGCGCTCAATTTCGCCGAGCTTATCTTTGTCCTTTTCCAGAACTTTTAACATAGTTTCCAGTTGGCTTAAACTCACCATTTCCGAATCGTTCTGTAAATTGTAATGGATTTAATAAACGAGCAACTTGTTGGTTGTTGGTTTTAGTTTGACTTACCAGATCCTCCATTTGTGAGCGTAGATGATGAATCTTCCAGCCACTAATTTTCTTCTGCACATTTGGTTGATTGGCCAGATCAATCACTGTGGCGCGTCGCTCATCACGTGGCTTCACATCCGTATATCGATGAAAATGATTGTTCGCCAGCTTGTTCGTCGGCTTGTACGTCTGCGTTGTGTAGAAGAAACATATATAATCATCACAAATAGTTACAGATTACAGCAAACTCACATTCAGCAGCGCACAATTACGCGGACGTCGCAGCACATAGTCCACCGGATTTGCGTTCTCCTTATTGCCAGCCACAGGCGGCGCACCGCCCAGCCGATGATTATTTACATCGCCAGTGCCGCTGGCATTGGGAGTGGTGCTGGTGCTGCCCGCGGCTGCCAGTAGCAGGCCACCGTTGTTGATGCCCGACGGATGCTGCTGCTGCTGCTGTTGCACGAAACTTGATGCTGCCTCTTGAGCGGTGCTGCTCTGGCTGCCCACGTTGCCCATTGGCGGCGGCAACGAAAGCGATAACGATGCCTGGCTCTGGTTGGACTGCTGGCTATCATTGCTGTAAATGAGAACAAGTTTATGCATGCACATATGGTAAAAGTCATTCACAACTCACGTGGATCGTCGTGGCTTCTTGCGAGCCACGCTGTAATCTGAGTTGCTGCCACTGCCGCTGGTGCCGTTCATGCGCGCCTGCTGCAATTGGCTGGCCGTCAGTGTAGCGGCTTGCGTTGCCACCAGATGCGAGCCCTGTTGCTGTGGCACATCCACAAAAGCGCTGGCTATGCCACTGCCACGGGCTCCCAATGTTGTGTGCGTCACGTTCGACGGATGCGTGGGATACAGCTAAAAGATACAATACATTAGTTTTCGAATAGTTCAAAATAGACTCCAAAGACGTACCTCATTTATGGGATTGAAGTGTGTTGCGTTGTCACGCACAGCCGCTCCAGTTGGCTCATCACCAATCCGATTAATAGACAGATTACTGTCCTGCATTTGCTGATCCACGCCGGGCGACGAATTAGCCGAGACGGTGGTAGAACCGTCGGACGAAGCCGGCGAATCGGCACGCACGTTGCGCGTGCTCACAATACTGCCACCTGTTGTCGAGACAGATGCTGTGGATGCCGAGGATGCACCCACTAGAGCACCAGCTGCCGCTGAGACGGAGCTGACGCGCTCACGGTCCTTCTTGGCTAGCGCCTCAACAGTCAGAGCCGAGCCGCTCACCGTTGTTGTGGCTGGCTGCGTTGCCGGTGCCACAGAAACGGGTTGTATATTGAAGGCGGAGCCACCAGCCAGATTAACGGCTGTCACATTCCCCACCGAGCCTGAAGCATTGCTGTTGCTGCTCATGGAGAGCAGCGTGGGTGCCAGATTCTTGACGCCGCGTATAGGCGAGCCCTCGGCATCGCGCTTACGCATGAAATTGGACACCAGTGTATTCGCGCCCACTGGCACCGGCATCTGCATGGGCAAGGCACTAACTGTGGCGCCGCCGCCTGTCGTCGTGGGCACAGCGCCCGTTGTCACCTTGACGGAGGTGTGCAACGGTATCACCATGTGCTGAGGTGGTCCGCCAGTCGCGTGTGCAGCGCTCGCTGGTATGATCAGCTGCTGATGTCCAATGGCCCGATTGCCACCTGCAGTTGCCGACGATGGCAGCACCGTAAAAGTGGCCGTGGATCCTGTCCCAGTTCCCACCTGCTGCGCATGGGTGGCAAAGGGCAGCGACGATACGGAGAGGCTGCTGTTGCCCGAGCTGCTCACTAGCTGGGCCTGCGCTTGCTGAGCCTGGGCTTGAGCCTGGCCATGTGTGTGTGTACTCTGCGTGACCGTTGTGGTGGTCAGCGACAGAACGCCCGTTGAGGCTGGCATAGATTCATAGTAGATGGCTGAGCTACCCGGTGGCAAGAAGGATGTGCCTGCCGCGGACGTGGCCACTGAAGATGCAGTTGATGTTACGCTGACGCCACTGCCGCCGCCGCTGCGTTGCTGTATGAATACATTCGTTCCCGCACCGCTGGACGGTAGGCCGCTGCTGGATGCGGCCGCATCTACTCCGCTCGGCTGGGCCATCATCATTTTGCCCACAGTTATGCCGCTTGCATTTTTGATGGGTGTCAGTGTGCCCGTCAAGATGTTGCTCGCGGGTCCACCACGCCCGCCAATCGTCAAAGGTAACACCGTAGCGGAGCCGCCCGTAGACGCAGCTGCTGCAGCTGCAGCGGATCCACTCGACACCGAACTGGTTGTCACACTAGACGCAACACTCGGCACCGCCTGTATGCTGGCCACGCCTTGCGGTGTCATTGTAGGTCCACTGCCCGCCGTCGATAGCTTGCCAATGGGATTCAATTGCGTTATAGTCAGTGAAGGCTGAACTTTGGCTGTCATTGTAACTGGCGGTCTAATGCCTGCAAAAATTGTAAGAAAAAAAAAAATTACAAAATTTTATCCCGTTGAATATTTGTATGTCAGAAAATTTCTTATACAGAATAAATTGCTACGTGTCCCTAATCATACGCACGTCTGTTTACATGACAGTTTGAATCTATCGATTAATTGCA